TTCTTTAGAACATTAAAAAGAACAAAATATGGATTATTAATGAGATTTTTAGAACTGACTCAGTAATGAGCTAAATAAGAGGAAAGTAACTCAGGGTTGGTTGTGTTGGGGGGGGCACAGTACCACATACAAACTTTTACTGAAGCAATAACTGTGGTAAACATCATTCAGAAGCCTTTGAGACAACGAAGGACCCTGTGTGTCTTCCCAACCTGAGACTCTTTTGGCCAATGTTCCAGCCCTCTGCAAAATCTTGAACCTTACTCACTGAAATGGTGTATGGGAAGAGTTAACATTTCTAAAACAAAAAGAATGAGAGGGGTTTCCTTACACAAATTATTTGTAAAAATAAGTCCCATGATAAAATATAAGGATTAATGTATTAATCAGAGCTTTGTGAATGCTCAAATTAAATGGCTTTGTTATGCTAATTCACTTGTAAGTGAAGAATAGAATGATTCTCCTATTATTGAATATCATTCTTAAGGGCCTGATTTAGATATCCTTTATGCATGCAAATCATAATAAGTCCTAGATGAGAAATTTGAAAAGTCACCTTATTTCTTTTCAAGTTGCAGCATAGCCACCATGCTTTATAGTTAGTTTCATTTAGCTTATGAAATTTATAAAAGACAAATATGCTCAGGAAGGAAACAACAGAAGGCAACTTTAGAAATGTATTTCCTCACAATCATCCTTCAAAAGGCTAATGTATCATAATAAAGACAAATTTCAGTGCATCCATCCCAGGCTTAAAATGCGCTGACCTGAGGTTACATAGTAAAAGAAGATACATTATTTATCCTCCTATAATGGTTTCTTTTTATGTTTAAAAGTTTGAATTATTATAAACATTAAAAATTGATGGATTACATACCAAAATTTAATTTCTGGGTTGGTGTGGAAAATTAGACACCGTGACAATACTAGGGCACTATTCATATTTGGCAAAACACAGGGAAGCAAATAGCTCAGAAAATAAGAGTGCACATGCTTGGAAAAATGCACACTAAGGTCTTTGGTCAGATATATATATATATATATATATATATATATATATATATAGAGAGAGAGAGAGAGAGAGAGAGAGAGACTGACTTGTGGGCATATTGGAAGATGGATGAACTAAGATGCTTTGCTTAAAACATTCTTCAAACACTTTGTATCTGTTTCTTCATTTTAAAGTCAGATTGCTGCCCATTGCTTTATCAACTAGGTTAATTTATGGACCTAAAATATCTTTTAACACTTAGGTAAAATGAACCTGGAAGAAAACAGCAAGTCAGTCTAAGGATTACAAGCAAGTCAGATCGCACAAAGCTTAGGGAGTAAGACACGGAGTGTGGGTATGGATGTCATTGATTAACTCTGACCATGACAGAACCATAGTTTCTTCTCTACCCATCTTTATTTCTTCTCTCCTAGTTTACCACTCTGTCATAAATTTAGTTATTAATTATATATAAAGTCTCAAAATCTTTTCAAGAGCTTAAATTTAAAACCAAAGGTCTGTTGAAAGTATCATAAAATAAATTTAGCAAGCATTTACAGATATACATCTGCCTCAAAGTACTGCTGCTCAGACTGCTGTCATGAATTCGAAAGTTGATACAACAATACACGTTAAAAGTATAATTACTCTGCAGCTAATTAGAAATTCAATATTAAAAATTCAACTTAGTCATATATATTTATTCTGTGGTACAAGTTAATGAATACTTTAGGCCTTGGAGCTTCTGAGAAATACAATGGGAAGTAATGAAATATATTTTATCTCTTGATAAATGTTTACCCATTAATTAGTTAACTTGAGTAAACAAGATACAGATTATCTTCTCATAAGAACTATTGTTTGTTAATGTGGCAATGTTTTTCAAGACCATGGCACTCAAATCAATTTATTTCTAAATGAAACATTTCTTTAGGATAAAATGTTACTAGATAACGTATGAGGACTGATCAGTTAATGATATAAACCAAACAAAGAGCAAACCATTTTTGCTTTGCTTGATTAATCAATGTACAAAGTAATAGTTTATAATGCTAACTGGACTGTAGGCAACTTGATCTTGACTTAACTAGAGAAATTGATTTATTCATGTTTTCCAAGAGGAAATCTATACCTTGTCATCAAACAGTACTCAAACATTTAGGCTTTTTGGGTTAATACAAACAACTGAAGTTTTAATAAGTCTTATCCCGATTATTTGATCAGTTTTAAAACTATATGGTCCAAGTTAATAACTCCTGTTTAAATTGCTTTTCAAATAATTTTGGATCTAAAATATTTCACTATATAGAAATTGGTTTCCAGAAGAATTGACAATGCGCTTACCACTTTCTAATATTATAGAATTCCAGGTAAAAGCCAATGAAGATTTTCTTAGTTTTGATTTTATAAAAATGAGTGTTTATTTCATAATCAAAACTGATAGTTGATAGCAAAAATAAAAAGCTAAAAATTGAATTAAATGATGTTCAGTGTACAATGGGATCCAAAAGCTAAGTGTGATAGCATTAAGGAAATAGATTTTTACTAGAATGTCTGGAGAAATTAAAATACACACACATGCACACACATACACATTCACTGTCTCAGCCATATTTGGGTATCACTTACATTGATGAACAGCTGTTTCCCATTATAAAACCATTACTCCAGATGAAAATTTCAGGGATGAATACTTCAACCTTGCCATCTTGATACAATGATATCTTGGTACCAAAAAAAAGTAGAGAGATTTCTGGCTCCAATTGAAAACTGGCCTATAAAATAAAAATAATTAAATATATATATGGGCCCTATTTTTAATTTCAGACATAGAACACAAAAGTATACATTTTTTTTTTGGTCTTTTTCGTTTTTATCGGTACCAGGGATCGAACTCACGACTGCCTGCATGCAAGGCAGGTGCTTATGCTGCTGAGCTAAATTCCCAGCCCTACATTTTTCATATTAATATATTTCAGAAGAATTTAATGATAATTCTAATGTTTTTGTTTTTATTTTTAGATTTTACTTTTTTAATACAAGAAACATTGATTATTCACAGTGTATCTGCAGCAAGATAGGTATTTGAATTTGTGATTTTGAAGCACCTTATAAAATCTCTTTATGATTATTCTATTTTTGTGCTATTCAGTCCAACTTTATTCAATTTAATTCATTAGTTGGATCACTATTGATATTTTCCTCTCAAAGTATCATCATGTGTTGGCGTAATGGATGATAAGTCAACCTAAAGCTTGATGTCCTAACAAAACTAATAATGACTGTAGACATCAAGTTATTTTGTCTAGGTTTAGAAAACTGTTTTTATTACATACAAAATTAAATATGCAAAAATGAAATGAACACTGCTAAAATTTATAAGCAACTATGAAAAAACAATATTTTCTTCAATTTCCTGGTCACAAGCTTAACTTACTTAACAAAAGCTGGAGAAAGCCATTCTTGTGAAATCTGTGAACACCTGCAAAGGCTAACTCTGTCAATTGTGTGGATACTCCCATACCTTGTCCTCGAGTATATGAATTACTGAGATGAACACACATGGACAAAAGAAGATTGAACCTCACTGTCTCCCCATTTCATGCTAAGTGATGAGGTACTAGAAAGCACATGTGGAGAACTTTCTTGAGCAATTCCAACTGAAATTGCAAAAGATACTTGACATATTTTTATTTGGGTGTGCCTCAGTGCTCAGCTTTTCAAAACAGAGTCATGAATTTACCAAGATAGTTGACAGTTTGAAAAAAAAAATTACCCGTAATTAGATAGAATATTGCCTAGGCTTTCTGGTTCTGGAGCTCCACTGATGACATAGAGAAATGGAATCTGATGACCCAAAAGAAGTGAAGTTTTGCCATTGTGTTGGCCACACTTCTGACACAGTCAGATGCATTCTTAGTCCAGCTGTTGGGCCTTCCTCTGAATTCAGACTACTGAGCTGTGTCCCGAAGAAGACTTCAGCCTGATGGTCAATGTTTCACCTGTGGGCCTGAGCTGGATGTGCATCTTCCCAATTCAGGCAACAACAGTAACATGCATTCCTCTCAGTGGACTGGGAGTTGCTGGGATCGTCTAAGAGTGGCATTTCTACTTCCTAGGGTATTTGAGAGAGTATTTAACTTCTTCAAAGTAGATGCCAAGTATGAATGTAGAATGCAGGCCACAGATTTTCCATTGACTCGTGCTGCTGACCATAATCTCATTTTCTGACGCACATGCTGTGCCTTCACAGTCAGAGATACATACACGTGGACCACTAGCATCCTCAACACTCTGTTCTTAAAAGGTCTTTGCTTTCAAATAGCACTAAACATTTCACTAAATATTTGGAAATAGTTAAAATCTTTAAAAATGTCTTGGAATTTCTGCTTAAACAGAGGTGCTGAAAGAATTTTCCGATATCATGTGGCCTCAAGTAAGACTTGCACAATATTTAATCTCTAGAAGTCTAGTTTGATTAAGAGCACAGTCACAAATATCAGTGCAATGACCACTGTATACAGTTCAATTTAGAAGCAGCTTACAATGTATATTACGTTTCTCAATACTGAGCAAGAAACAAATGGGAATCTTTGGTTCATCTGTAACCAACATGCCAGGCATGGAAAGATCTGCAGTAGATAACATGACACTTGTCTCCCTGGTTGGAAAAGCTTCCCTCCGCAAGCCAATAACAATGAACAAAGCAACACCATTGGATTTCAAAGGTTTCTTTCTCTGAGTTACTGGCAATACATCATGTTACAGTTTTCTAAAACCAGTTAGATTTACCTCAGCTTTGTGAATGGGCTATAGTGATATGCTTGAAAAAAAGGATACTCCTGTGATTCAGGTCCTGCTGTTATATGGACATAGGCGCTGTGGTCAGGCTCAATATAGGTTCTATTGACTTTGCAGTTAAAGCATGTGGTGATAAAGTGGAGTTTTGATTGATTGGACATTGGTGGATCACTTTGTGTGTGTGTGTGTGTGTGTGTGTGTGTGTGTGTGTGTGTGCACCATTCCTGGAGGAGCTGCCATACTGGATTGGTGTGTGGAGTAGATAGAGCAAGCTCCTATTCCATCTCCTGGCTTCAAAAATCCACTTAATATATTGTCCTCAGATAGATGTATCAGATATTAAACTGATAAGAACAGATACCACACTTGATCTTAGCCAAAAGTCTGAAAAGCAATACATGGATCACTCTTCTAAGTGTATCTGTGTGACTCATGGTCAGGTTCTTACGGTCTATATCTGGTCCCTTGTCTCTTCTGCTAGTCACTCTTCTCTTGCTCTAGTTCCTGACTGCAATGAACCAAGACACTTTGCTTTATCACACCCTTTTCCCACAGTGTTCTTACCTTGGAGCAAGATGATCATTGACTCAAAATATGAGCAAATTAAACTTCTCTTCCTGTAAGTTGTGGTTCTTAAGTATTGTGTCTCAGAGAAAAGCAAGCTAATTTACACTGGTTCTTTAGAATGCATAGCTTTTGGAGATCCCTTTGCAGTTTACTTTAGGAACTTTAATCATACTCCCAAAAATGATCTGATTCACTAGAGCACCTAAAGGATATTCAGGGATATGAGGAAGGACACTTCCAGGGCTTGAAGCAAGTATCAATCCCAAACAGAAGATATGGCCTTAGAGAGAGCTAAGTGTCTCCTTGTATCATGTACTCAAACACTGAGGCACCAAACATGCAAGATGATAAATTCAAATGAACATGGATAAGGCAAAAGACAATGGTTTGCTTGGGCATAGAAATTATGGGCCAAAGGTTTGCTTGAAAATAAATGTAACAAGTGGATTGAGGACAGCTTTGTAAATTCCTATTGCAAAGCAAAGTCTCATACTCTACAGAACATAGTTTCAGATGTTCTGTCAAAGGAAAAAGGAAACATCTAGGTGAAAAACAATTCTTATGGTCTCAAGACACCTAAAAATCACACAAAGTAAACTGTACCTAACTCAATTCTCCATAGTGTCATGTGAGATCTAAGTACATTCACCACAAACTAAAAGGGAAGTGACCAGAATCATCTGCACTCACAGCTGCCGGGAGTTGGATAATATTAGATTGGGTTGCTCAGATTCATGAATCTGTGGGACATTTTATTTATGTTTTCTGATTTTTCCTCTTGAGACCAGCAAGCTGCTCCATGGTGTCACTTCATAACAGCACAAATCTAGAAAGCAAGTCCAGTGTAAAAAAAAAAACAATTTCCACCACCCTCGTCTGCCATGACACTGACATTTCATTGGTGAAAGCAAGTCACATAACTGAGTAGGGAGGTGAAAGACATTCCAATTCAGCCTGCCCAAGGGGAGCACATTGGAAAGTTATATAGCAAAGGGCATCTGTTGCGGGAGAAGGGATACATTGGAGGCCATTTTGAAGTCTGCACAATGCATTTTAGGAATTCATTCAGAAAGTAAAGTGTCAAAGAAAACAATAAAAAAACCATAAGTTTCAGTAGGACAGACACAGATACAACAGTAAAGAGATATTCTTTGATTTTGTTGGGTGAGAGTCAAAATATGTATTGAATATATCAAATGAAAAGCAATGCTAACAAGAGCAAGGGTGGTACTGAGGGAAAAAACAGCATGACTTATGTAAAAGAACAATTTAAGACTTTTGTTTCTGGAAGTAAGTTGGAATAGATAGTCTAAAATAATCATGCTGCAAAACAGCAAGCAATGACATATGCATTACACTCAAAATCCTTCAAAATGGTTAATTAAATTTGAAAAGTATAAGGCAATTGTTCTAGCTATTTCCCTCATTGCTGGGATAAAATACCCAACACATGTAATTTAAAAGAGGAGAGTTTTATTTTGGTCGCATTTCAGTCCAGAATCCATGGGCTCTAAAGAAGAAACAGTATGGCAGAGGGGTATAATAGACAGGAAACAGAGAGTATAAAGGAAGGAACTGGGCAGAGATATAAACTCTTCCAAGCCATGGCCATGGACCCACCTCTTCAGCCCAGATCTCACCCGCTAAGTGCAAGTCAGCTGAAAGACCCCAGGATGCAAATTGAATTCCTGGCCCATGAGTGCATAAGGCTCTTGGGGAACATCTAGATATAATCCATAATGGTAATTTATCATAAGCGCTATATAAAATGAATAACAGTCAGAGATCTTTTTGGGCTTCCCTTGAAGATTATCCATACTCTTTTTCTTTACATCTCTGAAAAACTGATTTTGTGCTATTCAAATATAATATTGGGATGAAGATTCTGTGTACCTCTGGACCCGGAGAGATCTTCAGGTGTATCACTGTGTAGGAGCAAACCATGGCTTCTGGTAGAAATATCTACAGCTCTCTGCAGGTGTTCATCATGGAATTTACAAGAATCACAGAAAAAAGCCATCTAAACCCAAACGTATACAACAAAATTCTGAAAACGTGATGAAATATCCATCATGAATGAGGTTAACAAAACACATGCAAGTAGTACTTTACAGTTTTTAAAGTCTCAGTAATATTAGCAATCTGAAGAGTAAACTTGTAAAATCTACTAAGAATGAAGAAAGGAACAGTCATGATAAAAAGTATGAAAGACTATGGAAATTATCAAGAGACCAAGTCCTAAAGCAGAAGCCAATTCCAGCTGCTTCTGCTCTCATGTGGTTAACATTCTGCAGGCCAAAGAAAGCCACATGAAGCTATACAATCTTGAGAAGCAATGCACTTTAGTCTGGCTATGTGAGCATGCTACAGAGTTACATAATCAATATATTAAATCATACCATTTGATAAAATAAATAGAAATTCTTTTTTTAAAAAATTTTTTGGTCTTTTTTGTTTTTATCGTTACCAGGGATCAAACTCACGACCGCGCACTTGCAAGCAGGCGCTTATGCTGCTGAGCTAAATCCCAGCCCCCATAAATAGAAATTCTAACAGCAAACTGAAAATGATTGAAATTTTAAAAGACACATGTGCAGGTTAAAGATGTTGAACATTTAATGAATGAATATAAATAGAGTTTTGAAGGTTACTGTGTGTCTACAACATACAAATGGAAGGTAATCATCTATGTAAACCATAGACTTAAATTACAACAGTCTGTTAAAATATGCTGGTCCTTGCTCTGTATTTTATGAAGTTTTAAGTAAAATACTTATTTTAAATTTAATTCAAATCCCTCACTCACTAGGTCTGAGAGAATTACCTGAAAATATGTCATAGACACAATTCTCAGAGCTTCTTTGCCCAGTAATGTCTAAAGACTATTTCCTTCCATCTACCTTTCTCTGAGTTTCAGTTTTCTGCCAATAGGTGCCTTAGTATAAATACGTACATGTTTCATTGCCTAGGACAAAGATTTTCCCAGACATGCCTAGTGTACCTCAACCCCAGTGCAGAACAAAATTTAATATCGTATTTCTTATTACCTAAAATAGCTGCAAAAATAAGCTTGCTATTGTCCTTCTTTCCTCCTTGTTTCTCTTCCCTCCCCTCCCCTCCCTTCCCTTCCCTTCCCTTCCCTTCCCTTCCCTTCCCTTCCCTTCTCCTTCCTTTTCCTTCCCTTCCCTTCCTTCCTCCTTTCCTTCCTTCCTTTCTTTCTTTCTTTTTCTATGTAGAGAATTCTTGGAATTGAAACTTAGGCCTTATACATACTATTGATTTCTTAATAGTTACACATTCAGAATAGCTTCATTAACTTAAGGAGACTAAAAACAATTTGGAAATTAAAGTTTGGGAATGATTGAACATTTAATTGTACTACTTCAACTCAGCATAAAGCAAGTTTTTTTAAAACTTGGTATCTCCATACATCTTAACTGTTTTATACAAACTAGAAAGACATCAACATTCCTTAGTGTATTCATCATAGAAATGATTTATTCCCCTTTTCTCATAGCAAAAACTTTCCATGTAATGTTTTTTTATGACTATAATGGAGGAATGGCCAGGAACGCAGGCTGTGGAATTAGAATAATTGAAAATGAATCCTCGTGACTATTTGAAAGTCATGACTTTAAGCAAAACATTTTGCTTTTCGTGACTTTGGTTATTTATGGAGATAAAATAACATCAGACTTATATACGTGGTGTCAGGATGAAATTAATTCATACATAGAAATTATTTAGAGTTGTCTGGGGAAATATTAAATGCACCTAAAAGATTAGTTATGATTAATATAAAAGTTTCAATCTTTCTATTTTTTAACTACATTTCACTTTAAAAATGGGCTTAGTAATTTCACAGTAACCTTGCTTTAATTCTCATAAGCTTAGTTACTGCATGTATCACATGCAAACACAATGCGTCAGGCTACAGATTAAATCATTCACATCCATCCATATATTTATAGAATTCAGAATCAAATATATATTAGAGTATCATTTTTCAGGCTTCTTCCCAAACTCAAATGAAGTATTCATTTTCAGGATGAATAAATCTAGGGGGAAATTATATCTGGTTTTCAATTATGACTACAGTTAAGACTATTTAAACGTGCCTAAGAGAGTTAGGAGGGCATTAAAGAGCAGGCAACTTCTGAGCTGAAACATGGAGTATGAGTAACACATGTCCGGATGCTCAGAGACTTCGGGAGAGCATGTTCGTAAAACAGAAGGAATTCTGGCAAAGCAGCCTCACCCTTAAGCAGAAGGCATGTTAGAGAAATTTGAAGCCTGTGGAAGAATGAAGGAAAGCTTAGCAATAATTAACAGCAAATGTAGCTCCATCACTGACTAAATTAACTCAAGTCTCCACATTGATTCCTCACAGAAAATAAAAGATTATTTCTAAGAAATGACAATCCAACCATGATTAAACAACAAAATCTGTCTATCTTTCAGAGAAAATATATATAGCACAGAAGAAGTGAAAATTACCATGTGCTAAGAAACCAACTAATCAACATAATGAGACTGAAATATGATACAGAGATTGAAACTATTTGACAGGAAATAACTGCTTAATATGGCAAATGTTATAATGGAAAAGATAGAAGGCATGCAAGATCAGAGGAATAATCAGAAACTATAAAAATTGAAAAATGCTGAAATAGAGAAAGCAAGAAAGAAAGAAAGGAGGAGAGGAGAGATGGAAGAAGGGAGAGAAAGAGAAAAAGGGGGAGAGAGAGAGAAAGAGAGAGAGAGAGAGAGAGAGAGAGAGAGAGAGAGAGAGAGAGCTTTTAACAGTTTTATCCATGAGCTTAACAGGC